TTGACCCGCCCCGCGCCGCTGCCCGCCTGCCCCGGCCGCCCGCCCGGCCGCCCGCCCCGCGCCGCTGCCCGCCCGTTCGTCCGCCCGCCCGCCGCTCGCGATGAAGGCGGCCCAGGCCGCGGGTGCCGAGGCGCCGCAGGGCGCGCGGTCCGTCAAGGTGGTCCTGGTCGGCGACGGCGGCTGCGGGAAGACGTCGCTGCTGATGGTCTTCGCCGAGGGGGCCTTCCCCGAGGTGAGTGCCAGCCCCCTCCGGGCCCCGCGCCCCCGACCCTGCCTCGCACGCCCGGCCGCCCGGTCGGGTTCCGCACGCGCGCCCCGGTGCACCCACCGGGCCCTCCAAGGGGTCTCCCAGCGGAGTGTGGGCTCAAAGGCAGTTCTCGCTCCGCCATCGGAAGCGAGGGCCTCAGTAGTATCATCTGTAAAGTGGCAAGAATGGCCCCTCCCTGGGAGAGGTGTCACAGGGACTGACTTAGGCAACCTGGGTATACCGCAGATCCTAAGAGAGCACTTGGTGGCCCAGCATGGCAGGGAGGGACTGAGGACACTGGAGCCAGACTTGCCTGGGTTCGAATCATGCCTTTGTCACTTAAAGCTGTGTGTCCTTGGGCAAGTCCCCCTACCCTCTCTGTGCCTGTTTTCTTGACCACGTAATGGGAGTAAGGATGGTGCCCACCTTCCAGGGTCACTGTGAAGAGTGAGTTAACACAGGTCAAGGGCTCAGCTCTGAGTCTGCGGCAGGAAGGACTCACGGAAATTTGGGAAGTATCTCTTCTCCACCAGCTGTTGCATGTACAAGGGACCTTTGGTGGGCTCTGTCGTGGAGGTCAGAGCACACCAGACTCAAGTCAGATAGCTTGGCTGGCACCTCAGCTCTCCTCTGACAAACCATGTGGCCCTTGGTACCTTGCTTACCCTCTCTGAGCCTCCATTTCCTCACACAACCTCAGAGGGCGGGTGACCCAGTGAGGTGGAATTAGGGTAGGGCTGAGAGACAGCCCTTATGGACCTGGACATCCTGGACACGCTGGGCACATTGGCTGTCAGTCCTTCACTAGCATGCTCAGCCTGTCCAGGAGGCTCCCAGGCACCAGGATGGGCGTTGGACCCATTCACTCTGCCACCGCTCAGCCCAGTTCTGGGAGTCCATGGGTTTGCTTCCAGCAGCTCATCTCCCTCCTGCCTGTCCCATCATCCTCCAAACCCCTGGGCTTTGTAGGCCCCTGGGAGTCGGATGGGGGAGGCAGGAGAGGCTAGGCCTGGCAACAGTGTCAGACCTTCCTTTTCACTGCGGCAGCATCGAGCCAACTCTTACTTTGTGGTTTATGGAGCTGACGTCACCTCCTCTGGCCAGTCACATTTTTTTTTTAAGTTGGGTGGGACAAGTTTCTGGGCCCCCAGGCGCTGCCCAAGGGAACCCAACAATTTATGGCATGGTGGGGAGAGGGACCAGGCCAGCCAGGGTCTAGGAGACCAGCGGGGAGGGGTGTCCCAGGCCCTGAGACATCCTTGATGGCAAGGCTCATCCTGATTCCAGAGAGGTTGCAACATGGAAATGGGCATCTGGAAGTTGATGGAACGTGTGTTTTGAAGGGCAGGCTGGGGCTGGCCAGGGGAAGGGAGGACATGTTTGTCACCAGGGAGATGGACCTGTCCTTGTCTAGGCTGCTCATCTGTTTGAGGACCCCTCTACCTCCAGGCACAAGAAAGAACCTTTTAAGAACCTTCTTTTAAAAGAACCACAAGGTCCAAGCACCGGAAAGGCCTCATTTTGGAGGTGGGAAAATTGAAGCTAGAGGGACAGTCTTGCCTTGGGGAGCAGGGCCCAGCAGTGGTAGTGCGGGTCAAGAGCCCAGATCTCCCCGCCCCTGACCAGGACACTCTCCACAGTCCCCAGTGCTCTGCCTTCTGCTCCGGCCCTGAGACTCCTCCTCTTGGCAGGCCTCCAAGCTCAGGGAACCAGCAGCTAGAAGACCTCGAGTCTCCCAAAAAGCAGAGAGTAGGCTGGGATTTGAAGGGGCCTCAGGGACCCTTGCCTGGCTGTGGCCCAGCCTCGGGTTCAGAGCAAGGGAGCAGAGTAGAGAGAGCTCCTGAGGTAGAGGGAAGTCCAGGCTGGGCACCAGCTTCTGCCCAGTCCTGGCTGACATTTGGATTAGCAACCATTCCAAAGCCCAGGGGTCTCACAGAAGAGTGGGAAGAGGAGGGGGCAGGGAGGACCAGCCCTGCCTTCCAGAACCAGCTCAGTCCCTCCTGGTCCACACAGGGACTCTCATGGGTGTGAAACCCCTGACTCTCCTCTCTTGAACTATGTTCCCCCATCCTGTAATGATCCATCTGTCTGTCTGCGAGCCCCGTGAGGGCAGACCCAAGCCTGAGTCACCTCTACTCTGGTCTGGCTCAGACCTGGCCCTGCCTTTCCAGCAAAGGACAGCTTCAACAGATAAGATTAGACACTTACTGGTCAGAGTGACCCTGCCTGGTGGTTCAAAGAACACAACAGAAGGTGTAGACAAAGTCTATGGGGCCGGGGGGAGGGTTGTGCCAGTTACAGGCCACCGGAGCAACCCAGCCACGCAGTCTGGAATGGGGCTTGCCTGTCCACTCCTGATACCAGGGGCTGGAGAGTTCAGTGACCTCAGGAGAGGCCAATGGCCTGGGACAGAGCCTGGCCTCTTGAGCCAGAGAGACCCGGTTCCGTCCGTAGCCAGCTGGCACTGTGTTTCCCTGGGCAAGTCACTTCCCTGCTGTGTCATCAGGAAAATGGGGATAACGCTAACTTCCTGAGGCTGCAGGGATCAGAGACCAGGTGGAGGGCCATGCACAGTAGAGCCCTAAAAAATTGTGGATGATAGTGTCATCTCCACAGGCATTTGCAAAGTACTGATACATGCCCCCCCCCCCCAGAGCTTCGTGGCCGGCTGCCGTCCACCTCAGGTCGGGAGGGGTCCTGCCACAGGTGGGAGGTGGGTGAGTGGAAGCTCCGCGGGTGTCAGTCCCTTCCATGGTGACAGGCTGGGGAAGGACACACCACCTGGAGGGATGGACAGCAGCTGGCGTGGTCTCCCCTATCACACTGTAAAGGGACACTCTTCTCCTTTAACCAGTGAGGGGACAGGCCCAAGGTCACACAGCTGGTGAGGGCCAGAGCCCATCCTAAGCCAGGAACATCTGAGTCCAAAGCCAGTGCTATGGCTATCATGTCACACTGTCTCCTGCCAGGCCAGGGACCCGAAGGGAGGGGCCCGGGGCAGGCCGGGTGCTGGGGAGGTAGGTGGAAGCCTTGTCTGTACCTACTAGTAGAGGGAGTGACAGGTGACTAGAGTTCCAGGGCGGATCGAACCCCTATCCCAGGGCCATCCTTGACTTCTCCATAGCCCACGCTGGGACTCACCTTTTTCCCCACCCTCCCCCTGTACCCCCCCAAGTGGCCTGGAGGACCGCACTGACCCACCATTAAGGGGCTGCCCCTGCCAGCAGCCCAGGGCCTGACTCAGAGTGCCGGCAGGCCGGCGGGCAGGCAGACCGGCTTGAAGTCCACCTGAGTCAAGGCAGGCACGGGCACCACCTGGCCTAGGAAGTGCGGAGGACAGGAGGCCAGGGTCTCCTCATGCTGTGGCCCCACCCACCAACCCTGAGCAAGTGAGCGAGCCTTGGGGACCCTAGCTGTAGCTGGTCCAGCATGCCACTCCAGCAAAGGGCTTGTGTCGTGGTCGAGTTTTGAAAACCTCCTCACCTGTTGCACATTCCCCCTTCTCATTCCTGCATTTTGTCGGTGTACCAAACCCATCCCGTTTCCATTCGTCCAGACTTTATGGAGAGGGAGTGCAGTCAGGCCCTAGGCCTGGGGTGGTGGGGCTTGGGGCCCGAGTGACTTCCTCCTGATGCCAGACAGGGCTGATAAGGAAGGCAGAAATGGAGAGGACTTGGGAAGGGATCCAGAAGGGCCTCCTGGGGGAGGTGGCATGGGGCAGGGGTCTTGGTTGGATTATGAGAGGTTGAGAGGCAAAGCAGGGACCCCCCCCCAAAAGCCACAAGCTCCCTAGAGTAGGCAGTGAGTCTGATTTATTACTTGCTCCCCAGTATCCAGAAATAGAGAAGGTGCCACTGTTTACTGAATGAATATATGAATGAATGAATGAATGAACAATCGAACGAACAAATGTAGGTTAATGTCATTCCAGGAGGAGGGGACAGCATGAAGGAAGGCTCAGAAATGGGACAGTCCCCCATCCAAGGGGACAAAGATAAAAATAACAGTAGCTGGTACATGTAGAGGGCTTAGTGTGTGCCAGGCTCTGCACTGAATCCCTACGGCAACACACTGCGGTAGGTGCTTTTCATAGTCCCACTTTACAGTTGAGAAGCCCGGGGAGGTTCCGTGCCGCACTGGGGCAAACAGTTAGGAGGTGGCAGCTCTAGGCCTCACCCGCACTGGCCACCTACTTCCCAGAAACTCCCTCCCTCAGACTGTCAGACTCCCAAAGAAGGGGCAGGGGTTGCTACAGGCATTCGAGGGCTCTGGCCTGGGCACCAGGGCCCACCCTGCTTCAGCAGCTGTCCTCACAGCCTCCGCCTTGCCCCCTTCTTCCTCAGAGCTACACCCCCACTGTGTTTGAGCGGCTCACCGTTAATCTGCAAATGAAGGGCAAACCCCTGAACCTCCAAATCTGGGACACAGCAGGTGGGTGTGCAGGTGGGAGGCGGGGGCCCCCTATGCCCAGGAGCCAAGCCCTGCCCCCTTTCTCCTGAACCACAGAGGCCCAACCAGTCTCACCAATCTCCCAGGGACAGGTGTTGCCCAGGATTAGGGTCCCCAGGAACCTGAACCTTCTTTGCTCCTGCGCCTGCATCCACTGCCTCCCCCAGCAGAGGGTAGCCAACTGTGTTCCGGAGACAAGGGGGATCCAGAGCTCTTTTCTCTCAAGGGGTAAACTATTCCTGGCCTCCTAAGCATTCCACCCTGGCTTTAGCTTCTGTAAGGTCTGCCTGACCTTGACCTCTGCCCTCCAGCTTCCTGACCTTATCCACATAGGGTTCAGTCAAATCCATACCAGAGCTGAAAGCTCACCCCAGGGTATCCCAGCAGCCACCTCACCATGCAGGGGATAAGGGGCCTTTGTCCTGGGTCCTACCTGCTTCCTACTCCTCACCCCCCAAGCCCAGGGCAAAGCCCAGGGCAAAGCAGGCTTCAGACCGATGGCCCCAGTCCCTGCAGGCCGGACCTCTGCCTTGTCTCCGACTCCTACCAGAACAGGACTCTCTCAGCAAGTGGTCTCACCCAGACCAGGGCTAACACAGCCCATGGGCAAGCCAGGGGAACACTGCCCGGAGGGAAACGTTCATGTGGAGTGGCCACCCAGGCACCACATTTATATCAGACCACGAGGCACACAACCACGCCCTGATCCGGGCTCCCCCATCTGCTGGGTTGACTTCCCTGATGTTGGGGAAGATCTGAAGGGAGTGCCCACCCCCACTCTCCCCAGGGCAAGTTGACTATGACCGCCTGCGGCCCCTCTTCTACCCCGACGCCAGCGTCCTTCTCCTCTGCTTCGATGTCACCAGCCCGCACAGCTTTGACAACATCTCTAACCGGGTAGGTACCAGGGCACAGGGGAGGTACAGCCCCCACAGCCAGGCCACCCTGCTCTGTCCCCACCCTTGACTCCGCAGCCTGTCAGAGCGTAGCAGGCCCCAGATGACATCGAATCCAGCACCTTTGGTGTGTATATGGGGAAACTGAGGCCCAGAGCAGGGGCAGCAACTTACCAGAGGTCCCTTAGGGATTTGGGGGCAGGGTCTGGACTGAGACCGCTGTTGCTCTTTCCACCGTGACCTACCTGAGTATGCTGCGTCACCCAGAGGCCCCTGCATCTCCCCCGCCTGGGCCTGCCCGAGGTTGCATGTATGGGCAGCCCCCTTCTGTGTAACTGCTAGCTTTCAGCAGCCTCCCAAGATGCCCCCCCTCCCCAGGCATGTCAGGGGTTCCCAAGGCTGCTCACTGCCCACAGGTGTCAGGGATGTGTCCCCTGAAATGTTCTGCTCCTGCCCGGCTGCTGCCAGGGCCTCCCTGTGAATGGCACGCAAACAGCGTGCCGGGGGTTCATCGGAGCAGAGCTGGTGACGACGGCATGAGTAACATGAGCCACAACAATGGGAATGTCGACTGAGAACTTAGCTCATGCCAAGCACCGTTCTGGGCACTTCTGCCCATTCACTCGTCTACTGCCGCTAACAACCTGATAGAGCCAATAGTAGTAGTATCTCCAGGTTGGGAGTGGGAGAGATGTTTTGACCAGAGCAAGTGGAAGGCGGCCTTGCCATTTCCCAAGATGAGAAGGAGCAAGTGGAGGGTAGGGAGGTGGGAGATGGGGGCCTGTTGGACATCGCATTGGAGGGCCAGGTAGACATGGAGGTCTGAGTCTGCAGCTCCCAGGAGAGGGCCAGGCTGAGCTGGGCAGATCCATTTAGGAACCACTGGTGGGGAAGAGCCTTGCACATGGGAAGGTCACCTGGAGAGAAGCAAGAGAGCAGGGTCCTAGGGCAAAGTGCCAACCAGGCGGTAGAGGAGGGAGAGATCCCTGCCTGGTGCCAGGGCTCAGGCAGGATGAAGGCTGAGGATTCAGTGTTGGATTTAGCAAGGTGAAGTCACGGGGGAGACCAGGATCAGGCGCAGTTTTGTAGAGGGGTTGGAGTATGGGGAGTAAGCCCAGGACCCCACCCGGGCCCCATCTGGCTCCAGGAGCCAGACGGTTTGATGCCAGTTTTTTCTGAACAGACAAACTGAGTAGGCATGCACTCCTGGAGATATAAATCCCCTGTCTCCGGATTCTAGACTCCCCAGTTGTTGCCCAGGCTGAAATAACCAGGCCCTGGAGCCTCACATTCCAGAGAGCAGCTGACACAGACCAGGAGTGTTCCCTCCAACAGGCAAACAGCTGCGGCAACCATTTTGTGAGCTGCTTGATTTTTAAGGGATGACTTATTTCTTTATTTTACCCAGTTGGGAGGCGGTCCTGGGGGCCCTTAGCCTGCAGAGTGGCAGGATTCTAGACCAGGAAGGAGCAGGGCTCTGGGCCCCAGCCCCTGGGCTCAAATCCTGCCACTTCCAGTTGTATGACCAAGGCCAAGTTATGTAGCCTCTCCAAGCCTCAGTCACTGCATCTGTACAATGGGACTGATGACAGAACTTGCTTTGTAGGGACTTGGGGGATTGAAGAGTTCATACATGTAAAGTCTTAGAGCCTAGCCCAGAGTAATTCTCCCTAAATGTTGGCTGCACTGATTATCATTGCTGAAATCCAGCTGGGGAGTGAGAGGGTGGCCCTTTCTCCCCATCTGCGGGGAGGGACAGCAATCCTGATGGCTAACACACACACCCACACTGCCACCCTCCCCGCAGTGGTACCCAGAGGTGAACCACTTCTGCAAGGAGGTGCCCATCGTTGTCGTGGGCTGCAAGACTGACCTGCGCAAGGACAAGTCGCTGGTGAAGAAGCTGCGGAAAAATAGGTTGGAGCCCGTGACCTACCACAGGGTAGGAAACCCAGCCCAGGGGTGGAGGGCGGGTCCTGGGAGGGGGAACCTCGGGGTATGCTGATCCCGCCCAGCCTCTCAGCAGTGTCCAGCACACTCAGGGGGTGGGTCAGGGTAGGGGTCATCTTGGAATGGTCTGGGCTTGGAAATGGTACCTAGAATACTCTAGAAGATCCTGCCTATGGAAGGGAGAGCAAGTGGTGTGCCCATTCAGGTAATCCTACCCACCCACTTCACAGTGCGGTAAGCTGAGGCCACAGCTCTTCAGGCCACAGGCCCCTCTCTGCTACACACCTGTGAAATGGGTTAGCTGGTGCCTTGAGAGGCAGGGACCCATCCCAGAACTGAGGCAGGAAACCCAAGGCAGTCATGAGAGTGCTTGGTCAAGCCAGGGGCGGGCGCTGTGGGTGTCCTGGAAAAACTCACCTTCCACTTTTGTCCTGGAGACTCCCTAGGATGGCCAAGAGGGCCATGGGGAGGCAGGACGTGAGCCCTCCCCCCACCCCAGAGGCCGCCACCTCAAGGCAGCCCCCTCCATTCTCTCTTTTAGGGCCAGGAGATGGCAAGGTCCGTGGGCGCAGTGGCCTACCTCGAGTGCTCAGCCCTGCTCCAAGAAAACGTCCACGCGGTCTTCCAGGAAGCAGCGCAGGTGGCCCTCAGCAGCCGCAGTCGCAACTTCTGGAGGAGGGTTACCCGGAGCTGTTGCGTGGTGACCTGACATCTTGAGGCCCTCCCTGCCCCAACCCCCCAGCAGCTCAGGAAGGAGCTGGGCGCTGAGCTGCCCAGTTGGCTGGGCTGGACCCAGTCCCGAGGCTGTGATCACCGAACTGCACCTCAAACAGATGGACACCACCGAGGCCGGGCCCCTGACCCTGGGGCTGCAATCCCTGGACTAGAGCGTAACCCCCACTGCAAGGCCTGAGGAAGGGGCTTCCAGAGCCCACCTGCCTGGTAAAGGGCTACTCCTGGGGTCCCCTAAAAATGACGACCAGACTCCCAGCTCCCAGCCTGGACCCACACATCCGGAAGCAGCCTGTTCAGGGCTGCACCTTCGGGACCTGGCACTCCCAGGACCCTGGGCCACTACTCACACCCTTCCCCATCCCCTTGCCCCCTGCCCATCCAGTGGTAACTGTAACAACTAAAGCTACATTGCTTGTCAGTTATGTCACGTGTCTTGCTTTACACACATGTTCCATAGCAGGAGAGAACCCACCACATGTAGGCACTGGAATGGGACTACCCGGATCCAAACCTGGCTTTATCACTTTGGGACCTTGGGCAAGTTACCTGAACCCTCTGCACCTCGGTATCCTCATCTGTGAATGGGACCAATCACCGATGATGTCATGGAGCCTTTAGAGGAGTAAGGGCATCGTGAGAGACACGCAAAGAGCTTAGCAGGTGCCTGGCACCCAGTAAGTGCTCACAAAAGGTTCACAAGTGGGGTTTTTTTGTTTATGATAAATATAGTATTGCAGAGATGTAATATATGTAATATACTCAATAATATTATATTAGGGTTTTCCAGAGAAACAGAACCATATAGAACCAATAGGGTGTGTGTGTGTGTGTGTGTGCGGAGAGAGAGAGAAATTGTAAGGAATTGGCTCATGGGATCACAGGGCCTGGCAAGTCCGACACCAGTAGGGCAAGCTGGAGATTCAGGTAAGTTGTGGGATCAAGCCCAGCACCGGGATCCGTGTTCAGAATGGAGTCCGCTAGAGATTCTCTCCCTCTCCCTCCCTCTGCTCCTCCCCACACTCTAACACGGGCTCTCGCTCTCTCTCAAATAAAATTAAAAAAAGAGCTCAAGGGAGGGACCACTTCATGGAGATGTGGCTGACTCAGTTGGTAGAGCGTGTGACTCTTGATCTCAGGGTTGTGAGTTCGAGCCCCATGTTGAGTCTGAGATTATTTAAAAATAAATTTTTGGGGCGCCTGGGTGGCTCAGTAGTTTGGGCATCTGCCTTCGGCTCAGGTCATGATCTCAGAGTCCTGGGATGGAGCCCCATGTGGGGCTCTGTGCTCAGCGGGGAGTCTGGAGTTCATCCCTCCCTCTCTGGCTTGTGCTCTCTCTCTCTCAAATAATAAAATCTTTTAAAAAATAATAAATAAATAAAAATAAATCTTAAAAAAAAAAAAGGGAGAAAAGGACGAAGACAAACAGCTCAAGGGAAGGACCCCTTGTGCCAGAGGAGGGCTCATGGCTTGGGTTACAGAGCCGAACTGAGGCAGGTGAAATGAGATTATTGGCCTGCTCCAGAAACCCCACGTGGATTACAGGCTCCACTCCAAGGTTTTACTATAAACTGCTCAGGAATGGGAAATAACATTTCCTGGCCTAGATTTCTAGCCTGATTTCTCCTCCCCGCTAAGCATACCCCACACCCAGAATATTCCCTATTCTCCCCTTCCTGCCTTCCCCCAAGCCCAGCTCAGACAGCCTTCTCTAATTTCCCAAAATATATGTTCCTGGAGCCCTGAGGTTATGTTGCTACAGTGCTTTTCACGCTGACTTCTTGCACATCCGTCTTCTTGCACTAGACCTCAACTTCCGTGAAATCAGGACCCTTGTTTGCTTTGTCTCTTTGTCCCCAGCCCCTAGTTGAGGACGTGGCTTGGCTTGTTGGCACTGATGAGTGTTCCATCTCTGGAGTCAGTAGCAGATCTGGGTTCGAATGTCAGTGCTGCCATTTTCCATAGCTATGCGGTTTTATGAGCATTATACTCTTTGAGGCTCAATATCCCATCTGGCAAATGGGAACGATCATATCCATCCCACAGGGTTGTTATGGGAAGGAAATGACAATGCTTGTCGGGTGCCTAGCACGGTGCCAGCCATAAAGGAGCATGCAGGAAGCAGGGAACACATTGCAAGAAGTACAGCTGGGCTGGGCAGGATGTCCTATACTTGAGGGTAAGGTGCTGAACAAATGGTCAGGAGACATAGGTGCTGGCATGGGCTCCTTCCCTGAAATAACCAGGGACTCCATCATTTGTTCCTTCAACAGCCTGGTGTCTCAGGAGCTCTCTGGTGTGCCCCATGCTAGGACAAGGGCTAGGGATATTACACAGGGAATCGCAGTTTGTGCTCTCAAAGGCAGGTGTGTTTGCAATGCCCTGGGATAAGCACAGAGGAGGGGTCCCAACCACTCGTCACCATGTGGCACGGTCCGGTGCGTCTCCCCACTGGATTGCCAGCTCCGCAAGAGCACAGACTGGGTTTGTCGGATTCCTCTGTGCCTCAAACAGTGCCCAGCATATAGGAAGCACTAAAGAAATACCCGCAGGATGAATTGAGGCTCACACCCAGTCCTGCCTGGGTTACCACGTAAATCTCCCCGCCTTCTTCCTCCTCCTCACCCCTGCCCGCACAGCCATTCCCCTGAGCACGGATCCAGTCACGTCACCTTGAGCCTTCGGCAGCCCCTCTGCCCAGAGAAGGTCGTCCAGCTTCCCCAGCTGGGGACTTGAACTCTCCTACATCTGGCTGCCGCCCACCTCCCCTGCCTCAGGCCGGGACACCTGACACTCCAGCCACACCGGGGAGCACTACAGACCAGTCCAGGCCTCCAAGCCTTTGCTCGGGGCTGTTGGCCCAAGTCGGCATGCCCTTCCTCCTGATCACTGCCTGTTCAAATCCCCGCCTCCAGCTGCAAATCCTTCGGAGCCCAGCTCAGACGCCCCCTTGCCCGGGAAGCCCCGGGACCTGCCGACTCATTCACTCCCCCGCACAGCGCGCACCCCATAGGGTCCCTTGACTTTACACGGGCCCCTTGGCTAGGGAACTGGGCTTTGCTTCCCTGCTGTGGGAACGACTGGGTTGGGCTCCTTGAGATGACAGTCTGGTGGCGGACCGGGCAGGACGGCTGGGCAGGCGGGGGCGGGAGACCAGTTGGGCAGCCGCAGACATCCAGACACGACCCGAGAAACAAGCCCACACAGGTCAAGGCCGGGTGACGGCTGGGCTGGGAAGCCGAGGCGGTGGCCCCGGGTGGACTGCGGGTAGGGTGGGGACGCTGAGAGTGAGGGAAGAACGCAGGCCTCTCCCCTGCGTGAGAAACTTGGAGAAGGCGAGCCCCTTCCCCGTTGGCGGCACTGGGAGAGGAGGATGTGGCCAGGCTGCCCCACACAGCCACCCCGGGTGTCACGGGAGGGCACAGTGAGTGGCAGCCCTCGGAGACGGCCTGGCCGAGGAACCAGGGTTTTTATTCTGGGTTGCTGTTCTCCTCACTCGCCAAGCCCCCCTTTCAGTTCCTTACAACCCGGCCTGGGAGGGCGGCGGCCAGACTAGTGGGAGCCCAGGGAAGGCACAGCGCACAGGCCAGCCGGGGCCAAGAGCCACAAACCGCAGTGTCTTCGTGTCTCCACACCGCCTCCGCCAGCCTTGGGGTTGTCTGCCGGGAAAGCAAGGGGCGGGGGTGGGGACCCCAAGTCACCTCCTCCAGAACAGGCCACTCCCTGGCATCCTTGGGCGGGAGGGTGGGGCACACTCCGTGAGTCACGAAGCTTCCCTCTCGCTCTGCCTGTGCGGCACCCTGAACCCCACATCTGGGTGCAGGGAGGAGAGGGTGGCTGCCAGATCACCCCACTTTGGGCCACTCTCTTTGTTTTCTCTGGCCTCCTTCTGCTCCTGGGGGCCCTTCTTTTGGAGGATGAGAACTTATGCCCCCCCACCCCAGGAAGTCATCCCAAAGCCCCTGGTGATGGAACCAACAAAACCTGAGAGCAGGCTGAGGGGCAGAGAGATCCACGATCCACGATCCACGAGAGCAGGCTAGCTGACTGGCCACCCTGCATGCCTTCTAGGGCTTGATCTCCAACTCAATGCTTCCATTTAACAGGTCAGATTTGGCCCAACCCTCCGACCCTCCACCCTCCGAGGGGAGGCAGGAGGATGGGCTGGAATTTCCTGTGGGGCTCACGTCTGCGGAGACACCAAGCCTGGTCCTAATCGCAAGGCAGACACTCAATGCATTTGTTTAGGAAATACGTATTGGTTGTCTACCACGTGCCGCCCCCGTTGCAAACGCTGAACACCAAGCAGGGGGGTGTGGGAGTGAGCAGGACGTGGCCCATGCCTTCCAAACCTCCATCCTCCACCCTCCATGGGAGTTCCAATGTGGACACAACCAGTGGGGGAGGGAGCATGCATCTTCAGCCTGCTTCTGCCGTGGAGATAAATAAGAGGGGAGCTGGGGGTGGGGGCGGGGGTTGTTGCTGAATGCAAGACAAAGAGCTCTCCCCTCACACCCACAAATCTGAAACCGGGTTGTTCTAGGACCGGTGCTCCTGTCTGCCCACCCGAAGAGCATCGCAGAGCCCTGTCTGGCCAGGCACCGTCAGTGACATTGTGCACATCCTCCCTCATTCAGTCATCATCCCCTCACTTCAGAGAGGAGGAAACCGTTTCAGAAAGCTAAAGAGTGGGACCAAAAGCAGTGAATGGGAGAGCTGGGCTCTTGCGCGCGCAGGACGGGACTCCCAGCCCAGGCTCCGGACCTCCGCTGGGCACTGGCCAGTTAGCCGGACCTCCACCAGCAGAGGGCAGCAGGGTCCAAGGAGAGGAGCCTTTCCCCCAGGACAGGGGAGGCCGGCGGGCAGGCCAGGAGCGGACACCTAGGTGCCCCCATCACCCCGCCTGGAGCACTGTGGGGCACCACACCACTCCCACGAGCCGCCAGCCAGTAGCCGTACCCATCCCAACATTTTAGCGGAGGAAAAAACAGGCTCGGAGTGGCCAAGGACTTGACCATTCGGCGAGTACGGGACGCCTTAGAAAGAAAATCATGCTGGGGCTCTAGCGTCAGAATCTAGGATTAGCATCCCAGCGCGGCACTTACGCCTCACGGGATTACAGTCAAGTGCGTGGGCTGGAGTGAGATCAAAGGAGGCCACTTGCCGGAAGCGCCGTTCACGGGGCCACGGAACCCAGGCTCGCTTAATTTCCTCCGTGCTATACCTGGGGAGGCAGATGGGGGTCTTGGCTCCTGACTTCCCCTCCCTTGACCCCACCCCAGAATTTATAACATAGTTGTGGGAGGTTATCAAAATACTTTAGAACGTCAAGGAACCCAAGGGAGCATTCCGGGAAAGTAAGGCACTGTGGGCTGGCACCTGGAGGCACGCCCTCCCCTGGCCAGAACTATCCTGGGGGGCTGGC